CTTAAAAGTAGTTGGAATCATTAGATTTTCCTCAAATTGAATTTATTCAACAACAACTGAAAGTATATATGGTATTTATGTACTATTTGAGATCATTTTTGGATATTAATTTTGATTATATTATAAAGTTTTTTTTTAACTTATCTATAAAATGAATATCATTATTACTATTATATTTTTATCTTACCTACTAGGTTTAAATCTAATTTGCATTAAATTTCTCTTAAAATTATAACATAGTATTATATGAATATATTTTAAAACTCTATGTAGTTTTAGAAATTAATTAGTTTACACAAGAAATTCATGAAATCTTAAATCTTGACAAAAATTTCGTTTGAAGTTTAGCTCAAACTTGCAATGAAATCGAAATTATTTTATCGCAATGATAAAAATATTAAATCAATAATCAAAATTGTTTCCACGCTAAACAATAATCACCCAATACTGTAATTTTAAGTACCTAATTTATGTAAGACAGAAATTTTCTAACTGTGCTTTTTAATAAAATACTTTATATTCCATCTAAAACTATTAATAATATTGCAAACTAATACTTTATATTTTTAATTAAATTTAATAGAAATAAATTAATAAAATATCTTCATAATAATAAAAAAGGAATTGTCAATCAATTGTTAGCTAATTGGAAAATAAATATAGGAATGTCTTTAAGGGGTTTAACAATAATTAGATGTAAGTTATTATAAATTATGATTAGTCCTCTTTCAACAGAATTGAAGCTTTTCTTGATTAACTTGCTCTTGCTCCTAATCCACCTGTTCCTTATAATACTTTTAAATTTGTTTTACCAACTCTTTAAATATCTTAACCATTAATACCAACATTAGGCAATTAAGTGATTTAGGAAATCAAACCTTTAATCAATATAACTATTTAGAAATAAATTCAATAATAATAACAATAATAATAATAATAATAACAATAAAAAATAGGATAACCTATAATAAACAATTAATTTTATTAAAAGCCATTCACTTATAAGTTATTATAGGATAAGTCAATTTAATATAATGAATATTGTAATGCAATAGCTATTAATAAAGATAATTGTATTATATTAGCTGGATGTAATAAATAAATTAAAGTATTTGAATTCAAATAAGAATAATTGAAACAAACTCAAATTCTAAGTGAACATTCTAGTGATGTTACAACTTTAAATTTTATGAAGAAATAGAATCAATTTATATCTGGGAGTTAATTTGGATAGATTATAATATGG